ATATATATATTTTTAGCTTTAGTTTAATAATAAAATTTTTGACAAATAGTATTAATTTTAGTATAATATTAGGTATATTAACTGGTACATTAACTAGTACATTAACTAATACATTAACAGATATGTTAACTGGTACGTTAACTGGTACATTAACTAGGTTGTTAAATGGGTTGTTAACTGGATTGTTAAATAGGTTGTTAACTGAGTTGTTAAATAAGTTATTAACTGGGTCATTAAAAAGATCATTAACTGGGTGTTAACTGTGTTATTAACTAGATTGTTAACTGGATCGTTAACTAATAGTTTAAAAGATATAAAAAATCTGTCTTTTTTTTCAAAACAGAGGAGACTGTTTCTTACTCACTTTTAATTTTTTAATGATTAGACTATCTCATTTCTACTTTTAATTTCTTGTTATTTATAGTTTATTTTCTTGAAAGTGTAGCCATTGCCTACCTTCTTTTTATTGTATTTAATAAAGTTTTTATTGTATTTTTATTGTGTATTTAAAGTTGAGCCATTGCCTCTTTTTTCTTCTTTGAATATTTATTTTTAATATATTAAATTGAGCTATTATCTCATTTCTCTTTTCTTAAGTATATTATTGTATTTTAGGATTAAAGCCATCACCTCATTTTTTTATTTTTGGTTTAATGTTTTACTTTAAATTTTCTTTTAATTTTCTTTTTAGTTTTATTCTTTTCTTGTTTACAAACACATTCTTTAACCCTCTTACATGTTAAGTTAAATAGTATAGCTTTACTAAGATTCTGTATTGCTATATTACAGTATAGTGACTTAGTAAAGTTAGTAAGTTGTCACACCTTCAAGTAGTAAAACAAGAGTTCAAATCCTACTAGTAACAAAAATTTAAATTTGCAGAAGGTGTTATAGCAGACTGTATAATATATTGATTGAGTCAACACCTGTAACTTTGGTTGTATCAGCTTGTAATGAGAAATTATGAAGCAATAGTATAATATATAAGTTATATAAATCTCAAGTGAAGCAACCAAATTAATTTAAGAAATTGAGGAATATAGAAGCTTGCTTGAGAAATTCTAAATAAAAAGATAGCACAGATCTTTGTTAATGTTATATAAAGAATTATCATCTAAAAAACTGGACATCAAAGATAAATTGAATGAGAACTAGATGTTTGGCAAAAGTACTATATTAAATAGTGTTTAAAATAAGCTGGTTTATCACAGCTTGCTATGGCTTGAATGGCTTATTATATGATAAATTCGAATTTGTCATATGATATTCTCGAATTTATCACTTTTAATATGGCAAATTTGAGAATATCATGTGACAAATTTGAATTTATCATGTGATAAACCATTCAAGCCACAGCAAGCCATGATAAGCCAGCTTATTTTGAACATTAATACTAACTAGGCTATTAGATAACTAGAAGAAAAAGGATTTATTTAGAATATTAAAGAATGTCTATTAGTCTTTTTCAGGCTATCTGAATTGAAAATTTAGGATACTAACAGTTGGCATCAAAATACCATTAATAGTTTGTAAAATGGGTGCTAAGGTTTGGGTAAACTTTGTAAAAGCAAGAAGTAGATAACAATAATAGAGGTAAAATGTTGCAAATACTTAGTTGTGATTGAAGTATAAGTTACCAAAAATCTAGATAATATATGTGTAAGATATAGATCGCTTTAGTAGGTTTATCACAAAGATAAAAAACCTCCTATATAGTAGTGTGTATCTACTTTAAAGTCCTAAAGGGCTTATATAACAATTTCTCTTTAAGAAGAATATCTGTCAATGGTGCTAAGTTGATTAGAGGATTTAATTGAGTAATCTAAATAATAATAGGTTATAAATACAACATTTAGTATAGAATCTAGTAATAAGCAGATTATTTAAATTAAGTACTTAAAAGGTACAAATATGGCTAAAATATATTCTCGTTAATATAACAAAGTTAGGATAATCTATATAGCTGTTCTAACATTTAAATCAAAGTTAATAAATATGTTAGACCCTTAAGTAATCACTTTAATATTAAAAAAAATATATTCTAATTATTCAAATTTAGATAAGTCTTTAACCACTTTAGTAGATTTAGATTACAAATAAAATAATCTAAGCTCTTATTCTTGTATATACTTTTTACTTTTATTTACCTTGTTATATATAAAAATTAGCAACTTTATATAGTTATTATTTTAAAAATTATTAATAAAGATATAAGCAAGGCTTTACTTTTTTTTAAAAAAAAATTAAAATTAAAATTGGATTATACAAACTTTATTTTTGTTAGCTATATTAAGTAAAACTATTATAATTAAATATATAATAAAAAGAACTAATAAGCTGTAGATCTGAACAAGAATTAGGTGTTTGGTGAGCACTATATCAACTAGATCGCTGAAATCGACTAGAAGAAAAGGACACAGGCCAATATCTGGGTTAAGCCAATAAGAAAGCAAATAATACAACTTGTAGACCAAATCAGGCTATCTAAATTAGAAGTTTAATAAAATAGTAGAAGGGTTCCTAATTGGATGAGTATCAGAGCTAAGATATAAGTAAATTCTATAAGAGCAGAAGTAGGTAATGATAGTGACTTCAGTTTACAAATACTTGTTTTCAGACTAGACATAAGTTACCAAAGCTTAGATCAACCTAAACATAGATATGGAAGGCTCTAGCAGGTTTACCTTGAGGTTAAAAAACTCTTTAAAATAGTAAAGACCACTTTAAAGCTCTAAGCCAACATGTGAAAATAAAATGATACTAAGTATCATTGCTTAGATATAAAGGGTTAATATATAAATACAGAGAGTTTAAATGGGTAACTCTTCTAGTGAGTGCAGATATGGCATCTAATATGGAATTTAGTAATAGGCAGACTATTTAAATAGATGCTTAAAAAGTGCAGGTATGACTAGTTGTACTTTACAAATATATACAGTTGTCAGAATATTCTGATGGTTAAAAATACTACTAATATTCAAATAAAGAGCAGCATGGCAAAAAGGTTACCTTAAATTCAAAAAAAAATCAATTATATAATATATTATAATTAAATATGTTTATAAAATATTAATTAACTCACCTTTGAAGATTAAAAAAAAAAAAAAATAAAAATAAAATATTAATTAAAATATATAATATAGTGTTAATTATACTGTAATTAATTATAATTATAATAAATAATAATTGTTTTTTATTATAATAGGTTTATATAGTAGTTTAATTAAAATATTTATAAATACAGTATATAAAAGCAAAATAATAAAAAATATTGTTAATAAATAAATATGGTATTTTTAATAAAAAAATTTTACGTAATAAATAAATATACAGTAGTATTTTTAATAAGAAAATTTTTATAGTAAAATTAAAAAATTTTTGTTACAAATCAATTGTTTAATTTTTTATAAACTTGTTACCATATGTAATCACCAAATATTGTATGCTCATCATAAAAGTTAACCAAATAAGGATTAATTGAAATAATGAAACACAATAAATTTTTAGAACTGAAACAGAATACGTACATATTTAATCAAATATGGTATAAAAAAGATAAATTACATATTACATAATCTTATTGAACACTAATATTTTTTTTAAAACGTTTTATTGCAGTTGATTACAATTGATTACAGTTGATTACAGTTGATTACAGTTGATTACAGTTTAAGTAAGTATCATATAGCCAGTCAAAACCACATCATTTTCTTTTTTTTGATGTAATTACACGTCAAATAGATAACTAATTTGAGCAAAAAATTGAAACAATTTCTTTATGAAAAAAAAGTACAACAATGTAAAATCGAAATTGCATTATTCGTCGAAAAGAAGATGGAATTTATTACAATGGACAGAATGGAATTATTAAAATAACATCGATGTACTTTTAAAACGATTAATTAATTTATTTATAATTTAAGGAAAGTACGTACGTACCCTCATATTTGGTATGTTTGGTAGATTTGGTAGATTTGGTAGATTTGATAGAGTATTTAAGATCATCCACAATCACAATCGATATCACTATATCGATACCGACAAATAATTCCACGTATAGATACAAAATACATAGTATAAATTCCGGTTTATGTGAAATTAACGTTAAAAGTTTATCAGTGTTGTCATTAGTGATGTTAGTATTATTATCGTTATCGTTATTGCAGTATTAAAGTATTACAGTATTACGGTATTAAGGTATTTAGCGTTAGTGTTAAAAGTATCATAAATTAGTGTGTCATAAAATGGTACAAGTGTTATAAGTCTTTAACACGTGATTCACACGTATGTACGTAAGTATCATATGAGACATTCATATGATTGGCTGTTTAAACCAATTTAATTTTATATTTTTTATATACAGTTTAAAATACTTTTAAGAGAGGTTTATTAGGGTCGTAGGACTCCACTTCCTTTAGTTTAGAGAAGTTAGCATGATAATAGCCTAATTCTATCTATTTTCAGAAGTCGTATTATCTAAAACAAAAAGGGATTTTGATTATTTTTAATAGTGGAGTCCTACGACCCTAATAAAACTTTCTATATACTTTTTTTTTTAATTTATTCTTTGTAGTTTAAAAAGTACTTTATTAAAAATATAAACTTAAATTGATTTAAACAGCCAATCATATGAAAGTCATTCTATGAAGGTAGGTAGGTAGGTACGTACGTAAGTATGTACTGTACGTAGGTAGGTAGGTGTACATACGTAAGTACGTAGGTAAGTACGTAGGTAGGTACGTACGTAGGTAAGTACGTAGGTACACACATAAGTAGGTACGTAGGTACGCACATAAGTAGGTAGGTACGTACGTAGGTACGCACATAACAGATAACAGATAAGTACGTACGTACCTACCTATTTACGTTATCGCAAATTTAGAATTTGATTTTTAAACTATTTAGAAAGATTAAAATAGTATTTTCATAGAATCATAAAATTATACGTACCAGGTACGTACGTACGTACGTAAACAAAAAAAAAAGAAAAAAAAGAAGTTTCATTCATTCATTAAGGTACATAAAAAACGGTTTTTTTTTAGATAATTAAATTTACTAAAATTAAAAGTATGAAGTAAGAGCCCTAATTGGGGTGACAATGGAATAGAATGACATTCATTGGGAACCTTCTTTCGAGAACACACATTATGATAGGTAAGACCATATTAAGAATAAAATATATTAAGAATAAAATATATATTAAGAATAAAATAAATTAACAAGAATAGAAGCAAAATAAATGGGGAGAAAAAATAAAGTTTCAAATAAATTAATTTAAATGTAACAAAGAGAAGGAGAGAGATTATCGGAGAGAAAAGGTAAGATAGGTGAGTAAGTAGGAGTATATAGATAATGTAGGTAGGGAAATACAAAAGATGACAAAAGATATTTGTTTGTCTAATAATAAAAACATAATAAAGATAATTACGATTAAAGAAAAAGGAAAAAGTAGGTGACACATGAAGTGGTGTAATATTTCATTTAGCTCGCAAAACTAAATATATCGATATATGAACTTCCAAAGCAAGACAAATATTACTTGAAATATCCCAATTAAAAGCAAACAGAGTACAAAAATTGAAGCCAATCAAATGAAGATCAAAAAAAATTAGAAAACCATTTAGAGAATAGATTGAAAAAGTCAGACATTTGACAAGACAGACCCTTAAATGAGATATAGAAAAGGCTGTACAAAACTAAAAAGGAAGTGAATAGAACACGAAAGTGAAAAATCTGGTTGGAGAAGAAAGAAAATCAGGTTATCATATAATAAAAGCAAATAAATAAATAAATAAAAAAACAATTCGATATTGCATAAATTTTAATTTTTTAAATAAACTTTTATTACACAACATTTTTGTACATTGCATTCATACTAAAAAGCAAGTTTAAGTGTATATGGCAGTACAAAGATGGGAATCAATTAATAATTATGTTTAACGGTCAAAAGCAGAGGCATTATTATTAATGTTACGTATAAGAGACGATTGAAAGTATGTAAATAGGTAAGTAATTGATACGTAATACGTAAATATATAGATAATAATAGTAATTAGTAATGATAGTAATAGATAATTATAGATAATAATAGATTGTACGTGATTGTACGTGATTGTAATAGCTAGCGATAGATAGTAATGATAGTATATATATATAGTATACTTTAAAACGATAAATGATATAAATGATATAAATATATAAATGATAATTAGATTATCTACATTATAATAGTATAATGTATAGTATGATATATATTTATACGTAGTATGATAGTATATGATAGTATGTCTATACTACGTACGTACGTACGTTACGTACGCACGCACGTACACTATTGCTACGTAACTACGTACAGTACGGTATAAGGTATACCATTAAGTACGTACGTATACAGATACGTAGTATGGACTTGTGGCTGACGGATGATAGAAGGAGACAGAATGGTCGGAAAATGAATAGAAAATGACTAAAGATTGATTGGAAAGATTTATTGGAGAAATTGTAAAGATTTATTAAAGAGAAATTGTAAAGATTTATTAAAGAGAAATTGGAAAGAGAAACTGAAAAGATTTATTAAAGAGAAATTGGAAGAAAAGATTTATTAATTATTAAAGAGAAAAGGTAAACAATGATTAACAAGATAACAAGCCTCACGAAGGCAGAAAAAACAATGATTCAAAAGAAAATTAAAAGAAAACATGCCACCGACAATGAATAAGCTCACTGCCACATATCGCAGCAATTCAACAACTCAGCCTCGGCATCGACAAGACTCAAACAAACAGATTAACCATTAAAGGAGAAATATGCTAAGCCAATGCTAAGCAACCAGTGACCCAGGCGGTGCGATAAATTTCACAATTAACGGGAACATCCGAATTAGTAGATAGTAATGAAATACTATTTTTCCCCTTGTCATTGTTGTTGTTTATGCTTCGCGCAGGTCTTCACGTTCAGTTGTTATTATGAATGTATAAAAATGAAAATAAATGAATAAAAATGAATAAACATGAATATAAATGAATATAAATGTATATAAATGAATATAAATGAAGAAAATTCTTTTTATATTTTCGGTTAAATATGCGATGATCAGAAAAACATTTATAATCCAAATTTAAATTTTAACTTTTTAGAATCAGAATCATTAGAATTAAATAAAAATTAGCCACGTTTATCAAGCAAGATATTAGACCTGGCATTTTACCGTGTTGATCAAAGAAAAAAAGAACACGAACGATCAACAAACATTTTGTAAATTTATTACTGTAGTATCGGTAATAATAATATCTGATACTGTGATTTTGATGTTGATATTGATATGAGTATAAAAAATTTATTTATTTATTTTTTTTTAAATTTTAAATTCATTTAGTATTATTTAGTATTATTATTTAGTATTATTATTTAGTATTATTATTTAGAATTATTATTTAGTATTACTTAGTATTGTACTGCTGTGCTGACTGTACAAGTACATAGAGAAATTTTAAATTTATTTTTTTCTATTTTTTTTAATTAATAATATAAAGAAAAATTTAAATTCATTTAACGTTAACAGTACAGTACCGTACAGTACAGTTAAAGTTAGTATTTATTATACGTAAGTAATTTAAAACACATTACGATTTAGTAAAAGTAATTTAAATTTATTTGGCATAAATAAATAGAGAATGATGAACACGAACAAAGAAATTCATTCATTCTTACAAACAATATCTAGATTAAATAACTAAGGTTCAACTAGATGTTAAAAAAAGTAAAACCAAGTTAAAAAAAGTAAATGAGAATTTATTCTTATAATTATTGAATTTTATCACAGTTATGAATTAGGATGAATTAAGAATGAATTAGATGAATTGGGTTAATTGGATGAATTAGATAATAATTATATAGATGAATTAGATGAATTTATATAGACGTATGTATATAAATTAATGTAGTAAATTAATTTATACGTAAATTATCGTAAATTATCGTAAATTATCGTAATTATTATCGTAAATTATCGTAATTATTATCGTAATTATTATCGTAAATTATCGTAATTATTATAATTGTAATTATAATTAGAGAAAACGAAAAAGTAGGAAAACAAACTCCGTTCAGCCGATAATTACTCAGAAATTCCAAATATGAACCAGTTAATATCATTTAGAGCCAAAACCAGCAAATGGTTTTTGCCATTGTATTCTTTCAACATTTCTATCAATTCTATCAATTCTATCAATTTCTATCGCATACAATCAAATGTACAATAGCTTGATTGCAATCGTTCTAAATTAACATTTAAACTCCATTTTTCGTTTCATTTGGCGCATCTGAGACAATTGACCTGTGAGTTCTTTATACCTGTCAATCAGGTTTATATCCCAATCCGTTAATAACATAAAAGGCTGTGCTCATAAATACGCCTTTCCCATTTATCGTTCCGTTATCCCAAATCTGGTTGTCATGAATTGATGATTTCCATGTGTTGCCTTTAATCAACGAATAGCGTCCTTGTTCTTTTTTTCCCTTTCAAACAACAAAGTTTTACAATGACTCGTAACGGTCAAACCCGCAAATCCTATTATTAATACTAGTTTTAGTTTTTAAAATTAATTAAAAAAAAATACGTATCACACTAAACTGTTGACCTTTGCCTTTAAAAGTTAACCCTTAGAATTAATGCTGATAATTTCCAATTCCGTTTCGTCATATATCCGAAAATCGAGATATAATCTATGAAGATACTGTAATTACTTGCTGTTCATATACTCATATACAGTATATTACTTTATTATATATTACTTTATATTACTTTATATTCCTTTTTATGTGACTCATCTTTCTATTTTTGGTAAATATTTATCTTCCGTAATTCTTTTTTATCTAATTATTCGGTTTTGGCCGTTGGTCATTCGTTCATCTTTTGCTCCGATTAAAGTATCTACTTTCCGATAATTTATTGCTCTAATACTTGTTGTTAATAATTACTGTTAATAATTCTGTATTTGTTCTGTATTTGTTAATAATGTTACTTCTTGATATTTATGATATTTATGATATTTATGATACTTATAACTGATAATATACTTATAATATTATCTTATAATATTATAATATATTATACTTGTATATTATTATCTTATAATATACTTATATAATATATAATATACTATCATATAAATATACTTAATAATATTATCACTTACCGGTTATCGCACTTACCAGTTACTTATCGCACTTACTTATCGTCCTTCTTACTTACCTACTTATTTAGTTAGTCTATGCCTTTAAATTTGATTAAATTTGATTAAATTTGATTCTCCACTACTAAAGTTATGGTAATTAAAAATATCATTAGATGTCATTTAATTCTACTTATTGAATAAACCAATTTGATCATTTAATATATCATGAAATCCTAATAAGGTCTAATCTTTTCTTTAATACGTAATACAAAATACATCATCACTTGTCTATTTTGGGTTCGGTGAAACTGTTTTTCACGATTGTTACTGATTGTTGCCACTTTCTTTAATATATCTTTTTTAAATCGTTAATACTTAAATGAAAGCCACTTGTCTAGTAATCATCTTGTATGTTGTTGTTTCGCTCTGCCTCAATCTAGTCTATTTTAGTGTGCGATTTATTATTGATTTTATTATTGATTGATTTTATTTATTCTTATAATATAAACTGTATATAAATAAATTTTCATAGTTGATTAGAAATAATATGTGTAAATTACATATCTGATTTATCATATGTTTATATATTTAATCTTTACTTTTCCTCTTTTTGCCGATTAACCTCTTTTCAATTTCCCTTTCTTGTTTATGGTCACACCGCATGTGTAGGCCCTACTTTAACATCTGAACCTATTTCCTAAAAAAAAAGTGCCCTGCCCTTTTTTTTATTTTCTCTTCCATTAAATCCATTAAACTTTTGCTTGTTCGGGATCAATTTTCTTTTTGAATGTCTGTGTTATTATTATATTCTTAATTTACCGTTGTAAAACTGGGCCCGTTTGATTGCTACACAACTTTTCCAACTAAAATATCCTGTGCCTTTGTTGCTTTTTTTTTTTTTCCTACTATTCGTTCGGTTCCGACCTCTTTTTTTTATATTATATTATTACTATTTCTCTATTTTTCTCTTTTTTTTTTTTTTTTTTTTTTTTTTTTTTTTTTTTTTTTTTTTTTTTTCTTTACCCCTCTTTTTTTTGTTTTTTTTCCCTTTTTTTTTTCTTTTTTTTTTTTTTTCTTTTTTTCTTTTTTTTTTTTTTTTTTTTTTTTTTTTTTTTTTTTTTTTTTTTCTTGAATACACTTGAACGAACCGCTCTTTTTTCTGTGCTATTCCCCTTTTCCTTGGCGTTTTTTTTTTTTTTTTTTGGTGTTTTCGTTTGGCTTTTCTCGTGTTTCTTTTGGCTTTCTATTTTCTATTTAAAAAAAAAAACCCGACCTTCAAGTTAACCGGTCTGGTTAGGTCTGAATCACTAAAAAAAAAAAATAAATAAATAAAATAAAATAAAAAAAAATAAAAATAAAGTGAGTAAAATTCTTGTGAATTTTATCATTATTTTCCTTATAAATCAACTTTTTTTCGCGTAAGTGTTGAAATAACACCTTTCACGAAATGTTGAATTCTATAATGCCCGTCTTCATTTCCCCCATTTGTTCGTGTCTTTTTCTTTCATTTAATCACAAATAAATATTCGATACGTATCTAGTTAATCACGAAATGACAAGTGTATATGATCAGTACTCTACGTCGACCTCTTCGCGAGCAAATTCCGTTAATCGACCTTCGGTTGTTCCTATATCGGCCTTGTTAAATCCTGAACCTGATGGTCATGTGGTATCTCCAGCATCAACCACATCAACTACGTCAACGAAATCAACATCTTCAACAACGAATTCTGATAACTATGAAAATATCGATGATGGTTATTATCCTTCAACAAATCAAAATTTAAATCAAAATTTAAATCAAAATGGTCAACAATGTCGACGTTATTCGGCTCCAAACCTATCATCTGATGTCTCAAATGAAAATGGAAATAATAATTTAACCATCATTTATCATAATAATCATAATAATCAATCAAATGCTATTACTCCTATTAGTTCTGAGTCTTCTCTTTCTACCCCTACTTCTCCAATGTCAAAACATTCTTCTTATTTGGGTGGTGGTCCATCAAGATCTACTTCTTCTTCTTTACCTTCTACTCGTAGATCTTCAATGAATAGATCAACTGATCAAAATTCCGTTAATAATATTATTACTCCACCTCAAACTCCTGGTGTAAAATCTCCAACAAAACCAAATTTTCAATTTCCTCCAAATACTTCGGATCAAAATTCTCAATCAATGCCTCCTAAAGTTAAACGTAAACGGATAACTCAAGAACAATTGGCTGATTTGGTTGCTATGTTTGAACAAACTGATACTCCAAGTTATGATGTTCGTGAAAAATTGGCTAAAAAATTAAATATGACCAATCGTGAAGTTCAGGTAATTTTTTTTTTTTCCTTATCTTACTATCTTACATGCTTTATACATTTACTTTTTACATACATACACTTTACATACATACACTTTATGTACATACATACACTTTATACTTATTCTTTATACATATTTTATGCATACATGCTTCTTACATACACATGTTTACTTTATATATTATATTCTTCATATGTTATATTCTTCTTCATATGTTATTACTTTAAACATTATAACTTTATTTATTATACTGTTATATTGTTATATTTAACTATCATTATCTCTTTCTAATATTATCTCTTTCTAATATATTCTAACATTTATCTCTTTCTAATATATTCTAACATTTATCTCTATTCTATCATTATCTATATAGGTCTGGTTTCAAAATCGTCGTGCAAAGGCTAATCGTGCTAAAGCCAATGAACATAATGCTTCTCATCAACATCATCGTTTCTTACATCATCATTCCGTTTCAACAGCTCAAGCTGCTAGTGGTCATGCTTCTTCTATTGGCATGATCAATCCTGGAAATTTCACTTTTGTTCCAATGTTTACAAATGGTGGTCCTTCAGCTGGTTGTCCGGCAAAGGGTCGTAACAATCGAAGACACTCGTGTGTTACTTCTACCATTAATTCTCAGAAAAAGTCTTCTCAAAATTCTCCTTTCACTAGGCAAAGAGCTGCCACTGTTACTGGTGCTCCTATGACTTCTCATAATTCCTCTTCATCTCAAAAAATGGGTATTCCTCCTTCGTTAAAAATTATGCCTTACGGTCAAGACCATCAACTTCACCATGTTTATGGTGCTCATAATCATACCGGTCATACCGTTCCTCCTTCTCCTGTGTCTCCTACTACTCCAATTTTACCTCCTCCTATTCCTTCTTCACATTATATGTTACCTGGTCTTAATCCTTGTACCCTTCCACCTCCTATCGTTCCTCCAATTAAAGATCTTCTTGCTCCTCCTTCTGATCTATATCAATCTGGTCAACATTCTTTGACCTCGGTTCACCATCAATCTTATACTCAACCTCACCATTCATATCCTTCAACTGTTGAATCTCAATCAACTCTTTCTTCAGCTGTATCAAAAACTTCTCCTATTGATATTCTTGCCACAGCTGCTGAGTTTGTTCAAAGTGAGGAAAAAGAAAAGGAACGCCTTAGGGCCCTTGAAGCTATGAAACAAGATGATGAGAATAATGATGATTCTCAGAAATCAAGTGTTTGGAGACCTTGGTTAGTGTGACTTATTCTTTACACGATTTCAACAATTTAATGAATGAGTGTGAAAAAAAAAAATTTTTTTTGGCTAGTTGATTGGTATCTAGCTGGTTCCCCTCAAGTTTTTTTGACTTTATTGATTGGTTTTACATATATCTATCTATATATTTTTTGTTTTATTTTTTTTCCTTTAGATATGGGGGTTGTACGTAATGTACGTTCACATGTATCCTAGTGTTGTTGTATATTCTGTGTATTCGATGTACATTTCTTTTTACATTCTACTCGAATTTTTGTATCTTTTATTTTGTTGAGGGGTTTTTTTTATTCCTTGTTGATTTAAGAAATTTGCTGGATTATTGGATTACAAAATTATTGTTGGGTTATTATGTTGAATGATCCTTTTTTTTTTTTAATCTTATAGAAATATAACACCTTTTTTTACATACAAGCTGAAAAAAAAATTTTATTCACTATATATTTTTGTTTATATTTTGTCTCTCGAAATACCAATATAAAAAAACTTTTAGATTTGGGTTAAATTTCGAATATGATAACTGATATTTATATCATGTTGAAGATTACCTTGTTGTTGGACATTCGGTAAAGAAACAAGGTCCTGTATAAAAAAAAAAAAACAAAAAAAATATAGAGATTTATATTACTTTTTTTTAAAAAATTATTACTTTTTTTTTTAAAATTATCACTTTTTTTTTTTGGGCATCCTTCAATCCTTTGATTCATATTATTATGAATCTTTTATGGAGGTTAGCTCATTTTTCGAAAAAAAAAAAAAAAAAAAAAAAAATACATTTGTACAAAATTTTTTTTTCCCTTTTATTGATTATTATTCCATAAACATTTTAAGAATCGAAAATTTTTCTTTTTTTTTCATCTGTACATAAGTTTTTTATATACGTATATATATATATATATTATTTTTTTTAGGAAAAATCCACAAAATGAAATTTGTGAGAGATATTATAAGATTAGCAAGCTTTTCTATTTTATATATAAAAATATTATATGTAGTGTTATATTTTTTTTCGTGTATTTTTTTTTTTTTTTTATCTTTTTCTCTCCTTTTTTTTTTTAAAAAAAAAAAACAAAAAAAAAAAAAAAAAAAAAAGAAAAAAATATGTGTCTAAA